AAAGAAAGAAAGAAAGAAAGAAAGAAAGAAAGAAAGAAAGAAAGAAAATAAAGCCTACAATTGCAAAAAATAATAATAAAAATAAATAAATCCATTTAAAAAAGACAGAAAGAGTTGAATATCTTGTGGTTCTAAGAGGGGAAATCATGTTTGTGCTGAGCTGATCTTTTTGTTCCCGGGGGACACATCACAGATAGGGTCAGTTGTATTTGTGCTGCAGCAGCTGAGCGGCAAAGCCCTCTTAAGATGCCTGTAATCAGCATTCACTTAGGTCTGACTGTCTCACAGCATTTCATAACGGAGGCAGTGATTTAAAATAAAGAAATTACCATGAAATCTAATGCAGGCCACCAGACAGAGGTTAATGACAAGAGGGCCCAACTCAGTCATTAATCCATCCACATTTTCTTTGACATGTATCCTTTTGGAACTAATTAAGTTCCTTCCATGCTATCTTGCCCTTGGCCAAAAAAAAAAAAGGGAAAAAAAGAAAAGAAAAGGCGGCAGACAGGAGAGAGGTCTCCAGATCTTATCAGCCCCATACCAAAGTATCCTGCCGAGAGAGAAACAGATTCCCAGAAGAATGCTGAGAAAAGCATCTGGGGCCGGGCTGCTGCAGCCGGCCGTGTGCTGGTGTCTCACCGCTTATCGGGGAGGGCTGATAAAGAAAAGCTAGTTTCACCGTCTGCTGAAATTGTTTTGTGCTTGTTCATTAATAACCTTTGCTCTGTAGCCTTTCAAAATGCCTTTGTAAACCAAAAGAATTGGAGATATGATGGGGAAAAAGGCTTGTAGAATTGAACCCTTTTGGGACAGACTGACTGGCGGGTGGACCCCGGCTCGGTAATACGTCTCATACCTGGGAGAGAGGGCCGAGGAGCCATTGACCTGCTCGGAGGGCTGTGTGAGAGGCGAGTCCGCCTCTCCCACAGGGCTTTCCACGCTGTTCTCCAGCAGCAGATCTGAGGTGTTGCTTTCCCCGAAGTCTTCAAAGTGCTCCTCCTCCCCACTGATGACCGTTACCAGGGAGTGGCTGTGGAGCTCAGAGTTCAGGGAAAACCTGAGGGAGACGACGGTCATGTTACAGGGTGCGCTTGGTTATGAGAACACAAAACAAAAACAGTCGTCTTCAGGTCCATCTCAGAACACGGTGGAATTGTGCCAGTTTAAAAAAAACAAAACAAAACAACAGATAGTCAGCAGAATATAAACAAGCACATAATGATAAACCTTGGAAACCATAATATTGTACAACCAGTTGAGCTTAGAATAGACGTCCTGTTACTGAATAAACCCAAATAAGGACAAATAATCTTCACATAATTCAAGACAAGCAATCTGGACAAGTTTGATCGCTGGCCTTCGAACATAATCTGCTAATTCACATTAATCCCGAAGGCTGCTTCAGCCGTTCCTCACAAGTAGCACAAAACCACAATAGCGACATGTGCACTTTGACGTGGGTCAAGCTTTAAGAAAAGGCCCCCGGTTCTCTTAAATCGGGACGTCCACATCAGCTGAGAAGCTAACTCTGTTAGCGCATGGGGGCTAAGCTCACTGTTTGATTTGGATCATGCAACCGTTGGCTTTCAGAACGTTTGGAGGAAAACTACAACACTAAAACAGTAACGCAGCCCAGCCTGGCTTCACTTACCCCTTACTCAGTCTCTTACAACTTGGTCCCATGTTAAGGTCCCTCCTACTTATGGACGGTGAAGAGAGGGAACGCATCTTTGCACGCCCTCCGCTGCCCTGGCGTGAAAGCCTCGGGGCAACTGGAGTTAAAACTCCTGACAACCAGAGTGGAATCCTGAAGTTTCACGGATCACGCCGATTTAAAACAAAAGCACCGCTCTCCAGCTTGGAGAAGGACAAAAGGGTCTGAGCCTTTGGGAGATGGCCACGTCTGCAGTCCAAATGAGCTGCCAATGCGCACCCCCCGCTAAGATTTGCGGCTGGACTGGTAAAGGGTTGACTGCGAGTGGCTTAATCAGATTTGAGGATAAGCAGCAACCAACAGATAGTCCTGCTGACCGTCCAGGGGCCACATGTGTGTTGGGACGCAGGGACAGGACAGAGGAGGGAGGGAATGGGCTAATCCTTTTAGATTCTTAATCCACAGCTCAGTGCATCTACTCCTATTCTAATACCTCTTTGGATGAAACTTCTTCCTCGGGTTAGTTCAGCTAACGAGGCCGCATGGGCTTATTTTAGTCATATAGTGCTCGTCTACACTAGACAAAGGGACTTGTTTTAAGGTTTACTAACGAGTTCCCATACATAGAAATTGTGTAACGCATAAAGTCTGTGTTGTAAAGACGGATGAAGTGTTTAACAGACAACTGAAATGAGAGTAAAACAAAGTCAGCTGAGTCAACAGTTTGAGAAGTCCCAGCCAGCAGCTGACTGACGAATAAGTGGAGGATAACAGCTCGATTTGCCCATTCCAAAGAAGTACGGAAAAAAAAAAAACAAAGGGAAAAATAGAGGGGGGGGAAAAAGAGCTAAACCAACACTTCCTGGAATTCAAGGCTTACATGGAATGGGAAGTCCAAACGCATACATGTCAAGTAGACTGCTCCAAAGCGTGGACACGCCGGACAGACAGAGCACAGCGTCAGCAGATACAGCCCGAGCTGCACTTCCTCTCCTCTGCTCACCCTGAAGACTCATTCAACAAGAGCCCCCACGGTCACACTGCCTGTCCAACAACACTCATTTTTTATGGAGGACAGGTCAAACCGATCAATGCCTGTTTGTATCAGAGGAGCATTCACCAGCTCCTGAAAATAAACTTGCTGACAGAGTAAATCACAGATTTCTGACTTTGCGTCGCACCCATGACTTCAGATTATTGCAATGCGGTAATAAATAGCAAACAAGCTCTGGCCGTTTGCCAACGCTCTGTGCAATGTAAGGGATCTGTAATGATGGAACAACGCCTAGTGCACCGGCAGATTTAAACACCTCTATTAAATGTTAACAAACGCCACTCGGAACACATCGTAAGAGGTTATTGGAAAACCCACAAAGATGTCCAAACCTTGCCAATCTACAAGGACAACTTTTTTTTTTTTTTTTTAAAGCACTCGCTGTCAGCATTAACGCCCTCTGCATGACTGGACAACTTTATTGAGGATGGATAAATCTCTATTTGAGCAAATATATAAAAAAAAGAACCCCTTCTGAATCAAACAAAAATGGGAGGAAAAAGGAAGAATAGCTTCTTTCCGTTTAAGGTTTCTTGTACGTACTCTGGTAACATTAGATTTAGATGTTACCAGGCAACGCTGCCAGCTACCATACGTTTATCTGATTTTCTGAAAACTAACATACACAGAAGAATTAATGGCATTAAGTCAAGATAGTTGTGGGAGTCTACTGCCTGTGTTTAATCTGCCCGGTGACCCAAATAGAACCCAAGTGATCCCATGTTGGGCACGCAGACTTGGACACCACGTGATCAGTGTGAAAGGTCAGGAGAGGGAAGCTAAAGGGCTAATTCTTTAGAGGAGATTGAAAACACAGTTTTGGTTGATAATGCAGCCAGCAGTGATTTCAGAACATAATACCAGATGATGAACCCATGGGGATAACGGCGAACACTGTGAATCCAGGCAATAGGAGCAGTAACTAAGCCAAAATGAGATCAAACATAAGGTTGGAGTGAATTGTATGCTAACCTGTTTCCACCGTCTTCAGGGTCGTGCAGGGTGGCCTCGATGCCGCTGTCGGTTTCCACTTCCTCATGCATCTCGGGAGGTACAAGGGCGCCTGTGTCCTCATCGGTGAAGGTTTCACACTCACTGTAGGTGCTCTCAGAGCCCAGATATGCGCTGTCTGTCACCTCATTTTGCTGCAGAGTGAACCACATTCATATATTAAGCTCATCTACCAGAGAACTCCCACATATAATATAAAAAGGAAACATTTATATCAATCAATAAAGTTATGCTCAATTATGGTAAAAGAACAAAAAGCTTTTGAAGATGTTCTATTGTGAAACCTTGAGTAGCGATAACACCATTAATCTCAAGGGAAAAACATCAAATAAAATCAAACACCTCTTTGCAACAAATTCAATCTGAACACCTCTCCAAACAACAGCTAGCAAATGGTACACACAGAACCATGCCAGAAAGGAACATCTGAAGCCATTAGCAAATACAGACACATAATCAGTTATCAGAGCTGTGAATCAGAGATGACAGAATGGGTGAGTCATGCTGGAAAGCGTAACGTACCAGTCCACACTGCTTGTCAGAGAAAGCAGAGCCCAGAGGGAGATCCACCATAACCATTCTCAAAGACAGGAGGGTTATCCTGCTAGAAGAGCCAGGTAACGTTTCCAAATGAAGCTCCCTGGCTTTCCCGTAAGAGAGAGTGCATTGGAAAATATGTGTATACCTTGTTGAGCTGCCCTGGGTGGTCAGAGGGGTGGAGACAGAGTCCAAAGAGCAACAGTCGTGAGGTGTACTGCTCAATCAACTAAAACCAGGTCTCTGCCCCAAGAGACAACAACACAAGAGCAGGTGAACGGCTGTTTAATCTTCCGTGCTTCAACGCTTCCTAAAGTAGAAATCATTAAGCCGTGTTTACCTACAGCCCCACAGTGACAGGAAATGAGGACTACTCATCAAAGCACCCCGACTGTCCAAAAGAATTAGCCAGTGCGATTTATAAAAGTGAAAATGTCACAGTTGTTATGCAGTGTTGTTCAGAAACTAAGTTTGAAATAAAAAACCGTAGCCATGGAAGAAATGCGCTGGATGGAGCAGCTCCCTCCTGACAGAACACCCTCACTTTGCCTGTTTTGAGAGCAAACAGCGACAGAACACCGTGGCCATTGAAAGGGGAACCCTTCTCTGCCAGAAAGTGGAGGGAAAAACAAGGCAATGGACACAGGTGTGGCAGCTGCTTCAAACATGGGCAAACTTCCCCAAAACCGCCGCTTGTCCTCAGCAAACAGCGACCGCATCCGTTGGAAATATTTAACTTCGCAAATATGCTATTAACAGCCAAGCTTATCACAGGGTCGGTTGTGCCTCACATCCAGTTTCTAGCACATACATTATTTATGAGGGGTGGACACCATTTGAAAATATATGAAGAAGAGCTTTAGCTGGCACTAAAATTTTTAAAGCACTTTGCCTCATCATTCAAAGGAAGCATGTGCTATAATTTAGACGGTCCATCAAACAAGCTATAAAACAGACTAAAGCGGAGGGAGGTACCTTTGAACTCAACTCATTAGTGGATGGATTTGAACTTCTGAACATTAACGAGAGGGGGCGCTCACATTATGCAATGTGAGGCCACAGAGCAGCAGTGGCTGCCCAGTAACACACAAAGGGCATACAATAGAAGAAACCCTTCCATCCCGCAGAGCTCAGCAGTACTGGTGGTTAAACATACAAAAAATCCAACACATGAGACGACAGGAATTTCAGATACGCCCACCGCAACTGTAAAAACCCAAGAAGGCGCACAGAAGCAGAAACTCTCGCACATTCCAGCCAATTTGATATTTGTCAAAGAATACGCAAAAGCCTCGTCTGCCAGATGCTATTCGGTGTCGGCCAAACCGGCGTGTTCAGTTTGTGGGGCGTTCGCCGAGTGGTAATGATAACCCTGCGAGCCATTCGGCCAATTACAGTGGGAAGAGTGAGAGGGCACAGGGAGTTCAGCCTGTGCTGCTGTGTGCGACCGTGCAGGCAGACAACACAATGAGCGGGCCACAGGCGGGACCTGGGAAAGGCCGGGCCTCTCGTTTGGCGGCTCACCTCGTCGTACTCCTCTGGACAGCCCACGGCTCCGTCCCCGGGACTGTAGTTGGCGTTGTAGAGCTGCGGCTCTGGGCCTGGAGATGAGCGGAGAGGGGCAGGTTCAATGTGTGCAGAATACACAAAGTCAAACAGCAGCAGAAGCTAGACAAACAGAGGGCCGTAGTGTAAAGTACAAACGTCAGCGTGCAAACAGAAGAAAGAGTTGTACAGTGACAGAACTATAGGAAGCAAAACACGGCTTTTTAGACACAAATTTTTTGTTTTTTCATTAGTCCTGAATGCCTTAAACTGAGTTTAAATAGGTGTCTGTTGTGCTTTTGTCGTTATTGCTACATTAGACTCAAACCAGCAATCCATACTAGTTTAACTAATCATTTTTCCCCATGTCATGTGATCACTCAATTCAGGCCCTAACTGCCCTGCCTTGGCATATTTACTGTCAGCAATCCAAGTGTGATGCGACAGTAAACACCGAGTTCTATTACACTCACATGTCAAAACAACCAGAATGTCCAGCGATAACGGAGCAGGCCAAATAAAACCATAAAAAAGGATCAAGAAGCAGGCAACATAATTCATATTTGTCAATAAAAAGGGACGGTTGATAGCATCTGCTGACCAGCGGTGAAACCTGAGATGGACCACAGAGTCCCGTCAGCCACTGCGGCTCCTCTATCGAGTAAACAGAGCTGTGAATAGCACCCTGCTGAGAGAAAAGAACACAAACACGGCTCCGGTGTGCCAGCATACCCGAAGGCTTTTATGCCCTAGGGTCTTATGCAACCCTTTTCTTTTCCAGCATCACACACACACACACACACACGAAGGCTGCTAAAGTGACATGAGTCCTAGAAGAAGGGGACAGTGCCCGTAGAGCTCACTTGTGTGAGAAAACACACCTGCACTCTCACAGGGCTCTGCCTGTCAGCGAGTGCATATTTTCTTCTGTGAGTTTTGTTATTCCAGACATGCCAGAGCCACTACAGCGTGAGAGGCATTTCCACAGCCTGCAGGCATGTCTTTATTAACAGGTACACTTTCAGTGACAAGTGGGGGGGCGGAATGAAACAGAAAGGAAGGCATTAAGGGAGCATTAGGTCTGCTGTAATGATCTGTGGCTATGCTGGAAAGTGACGGGCACGCTGGAATTCTGTCGGGAGCGTGTGAGCCACCTGGGAAGTCACAGGAAGGGTCTGATCTTCACACGGCTGTGGGGGAACACTCCTGCAGCAAGAGGCATTCACTTTAGCCCTTGTTCCGAATACAAAACAAAGAAGAGAGGTAGAGGGAAAGGACAGGGAGCAAATGGAGACAATGACCAGTGTCCAAAGTCACACCAGTAACAACCGAGTTGCATGTTGTGTGCCATCCAAAAACTGGAGGTAACAATTAATGCTTAGAGCATAGATGTTGTAGGTGAAACGTCTAGAAAAAAAACCACAAAAGGAAATAGTGTGCTTGCTCTGTGATTTGACAAGAGTGTTGCCTAGAAAGAGAAGTATTAGGCAGATATAGATGACACGAGGTCTGGAGAGGACAGTGAATAATTAAAGTGAATAGGACACTGCATCCAAGCCTCCTCTCTGAGACACTCCTGCTCTAAAAGCTCACCAGCAAGCCCATGTGTCTGTGCGTCTCATGCTTTCCAGCAAATAACTTATTAATGATCTCAGTAACAGGAGCTGTGTAACCCAGAAAGCCTTGGGAAATAATTCTACAAAGAAAAGCAATGATTGGTGTGGTTGAGTCACCAATCGTCCTGACATCACTGCGCTTTGATAAGTGTTAAGACACCCAACTCTTCAGAGCATCTCAATGCAAAAGCTTCCATTTTAGACACATTCTGATTCTTATTCAGTAAATGGATGGGAGAACTTCCCAAAAAAGTTGAAATTGCTGGCAGGAAAACGGTTAAAGAAAACTTCTATTTGAGCCTGAAGCAAAACTAATTGGGTCTACCCCCCCCCGCCCCCCCTTTCTCTCTGAATCATTCATCTTGGCTGAGCAATAGATGCACTTCAGTGACCAGTGACAACAAAATTTGGCACTGTGGGTAGTGCGGAGAAACAAAGCCAGATGCCAAAAAGCAAAGCCGAACATGACATGAATTATTAGCACAGGACCGATTTTTTTTTTCTTTTTTAATCTCCTACTTTTTAAGCCTTAATAGTTTGGTCTTACGCATCAGGCCAACAGAGGGAATGGATCAAGGACACCATGGAAAGGGGTTGCAAGAAAAACAAAGAAAAGCTCAATTCAGCTCACCTCCATTGCTGATTGCAGAGATTCCACGGTGGAAATCTTCAAAACTGATGACGCCAAGGCCACTGGGATCCAAAAACTTGGTCAGATCCTTCACCTGGAAGACATAAAATGAACGCTCAGAACTTTTTTCACCATGACAACATAGGCAGAAAAGGCCTCTCCCATGAAGACATCCTTTGTTCTGCCTTGCTGCTTTGAGATGATGTAATATGATGTAAGAGGAGCTTTTTTTTTTTTAAGCAAAAAAACACTACGTGACAATACTATGACCTCACACTTCACCATCATTTCCCTCACTTGCCAGTTAAATGTCAGTATGTGGACTCCAAGCTTATAATGATTAAAGAGCAGAAAACTAGCAATAAAACACTCCTGACCTCCAGAAGAGAAGAAAAACTTTTGCAAATGTCATCCCTTTTCTTTATTGGAATCAGGGCAACAGTAAGTTTATAAGGATCTTAAAGTGTACAAAGGGTACAGTTGTTAAACTTATTCGATTATAGCATTATGCGACGCAGTGGAGTGCAAAATGGATTGCATAAGTGGACCTATACCAGTCTCCCAACCATCAGTAACTTGGCAACAAGCTTGTTCTTTTTCTGTAAAGATAAATAACTCAGGAGCGAGCCTGTATCTGCAAATTCATCTGTGGCCACAAGCTGCTGAAAAATGTTCACACAAAATAAGAAAACCAAGTCACATGGCCTCTCTCTAAATGTGGCAGTAAACCTTTATTGCAAGATCCTGTCAGACACGCATCACTGACAAGTTATCAGGAGCCCAGTGGGAGGGTTTGGTCATGTTATTCCAAGAAAAACTTCACAAGATGAGAACTTTTACACACAACATTCTGTGTGTGGCTTCGTTCGCATTTCATTTTTTGCATCGGTTACATATTAAAACAAGCTGATCTGCTTAGCAACGCTGAGCTCTGATTCAAGAGGCTGAAAAGCTGAAAATCCTAATAAAGCCACTCCAGCAACCCTTGTGGCTCACGATTTGGGTTTGATGAATCAAACCCAGCTGTTCGGTAAGGAGAGAAAGGGTGTGACCCCTCTCAGTTAACAGACACAATCCGACACACTCACTTCTGCTGCATTTCCCTTTTGGTAAAGCAGAGTTGGGACATGGAAATGATACTAGTGAAGAGTTTTTTCCAGGGTGCATCTAAATAGAAATGTGACTAAGGTGAGTTGTTTTTTCAAGCTTTCCGCCTCCTAATGAAGCATCCTACCTCTCAGGAAATGACTTTGTTCCACGCAGCTACTCAGAAACACCTCTGCTGGCTGAGGTGAGAACCTGTGAGATTGTGACGGCATCTTTGGGTGTTTTTTTAGAAATGGCAGGTAACTGGTATTCATTATTCTTCTCCGGTCACGCTGAGACGGTTTACTACTTTGATTCACCTCCGGGGAAGCTGCCAAACGAACAGATTTAAGCGAGCATGCTGTGGAAGCTGTCCGTGGCCTACATCCGATCTAACTCCCAGGCAGTGCCAGGCCCCCCAGGTCCTCTCAGCACAGCCCCGGCGGCTATTCCTAGGTCTAACCTAAAAACTAAAAGGCAACTGTGATGTCAGCAGAGTAACTGGTAAACTCTCTACGTAGCTGACAGAAAAAGGAAATCGTTCCTAAATGCAGACTGTATTTACACCGACAGAAATATCTCAACTATTCAGAGCTCTCTTTCAAGTTTTTTTAAAACTTTTGACTTTCTTGAGCCGTTGACTTATACCATTCCCTGATACTGCATTGAAGAAAGATAAATACCTAACATAAAAACACACATGTTTACACCTAACAAAAGGTCATGGAAGCTGGCGGTTAGGCCGAGATAGAAACATAAACTCATAGAAAACTTTCGGTTCCACTGCTCAGCGGAGCAGCAAAGGCGCTGTGGTTTTTCTGTTTCCTCTATTTGTGTCTAATCAGAGCCGGGGCACGCCTGAGCGCCTCCGCGCAGACCACTGCTGTGCACAACCCCCTGCAGAGAATCTTTCTCAGAAAGGACATTTCTTTAGAGATCCCCTGAAAACCACGATAACCACAACGATAAGCTTATTGAGTTGGCAAAAGTGATGTAAAGGAAGGGGAAAAAAAGGCCACAAAAAAGAAAAAAAGAAAAAAAAAAGTATGATCTTGAAACCTTGACAGACATGCAGACAAAAGTGAACCCAAGAGAGGGGATGTTTTAGGCCATGGGACATTCCATTGTGGATTAGAGGGGGCAGTGCATAAAAACAGGGGGTGGGGGGGGGTGGCCAAAGTAGGGAGACGAGGGAGATACCAGCACAAAGCCGTCCAGCGTGGCCTTTGTAGGGGATCGTGGTCACAACCACTCAGTGACTGGTGGTTAGAAAGACCTTTTCAATACTCAAATTCACAGCTTTGCTGCACATTTGGCTCCACCCCCTCTTTTCCAGGTCATATATTCATGGGAAGTGTAACAGAACAGACCTTTGATGGATGGCAGCAGGTAACTGTTTACTGCTCAGTGTTCCCAACAGGGTCCAGAAATAACTAAACTACAGTAAACAGCGGCCACAAACCAGCCCTCCTGAAAAATCATCTCCAAATGAGAGAGCCAGCTTGGAGACAATAATTAAACGGCAGGCACTGGGAACACACGGGAACATCTGATTAAAAACTTATCAACGAGCGCGTCTCTTCTTTCCCACGGGGAGCAACACCCTGACACACAAGCAGCACTTGGAAACCATGTTTTAAGTTTCCCTCATCGCGGTGTCCTCATTCAAAGAACATACACAAAAAACTAAAAAACACAGCATATGTGGGCCCAAATATGGCCCCCTGATACTTCCTGAAGCAATTCCGCAGGAATCATTTGCATGCTTAGCATGCAGGAACCAGCCGACAATGCAAATAACTCATAAATACTTTCCTGCAGTTGGACAGGTGTCTGGGACGTTTGCATAGAGGTAAAAGATAGCAGAGATGCAAATCCTACTTTAAGCCCCTGACTGAAGTGTGTCACCATAAAAAAAAGGAAAAGACACTTACTGAAAGTTTATTTTAAAAAAAGACAAAGGGGAAAAATAGGGGCTTTTAGAGAAAAATGTATTTTGCTATGGTTAGACAGTAAACCACATGTTTTCCATTATTTTTCTAAAAATCCCAGTAATATCAACTTCCTACCTTCAACCCTTACCCCATGATCGCTTTTTAAGTTGTTCTCAAGCTCCAGTTATTTTTTGGTCAGCATGATAGATTTTCCCAAAGCTGTGAAAAAACTAAACCAAACATGAAAATAAGCTCCAAGTATAGTTCAGAGCCAAGTATAGTTCAGAAGATGAAGTTATTCAAACCATTTTTATCTTCAAATGACTGCGATACAAGGATAGGTCAACACAAAGCTTATTCAAATATGAAAAGCACTTTCAGATACGATCTGAACTGATAGGGCAGAAAGAACCATTCGCTACCACAGCAAAGACTGCATGTGTGTTTTAACCTTGTTAGAGCAGACCTGGCTTTCTTACTGATCCTTGTGTCTGCATGAGTTCCAAATCCACTGAGAGGTTACATTTATTGTTCAACATTCCACAAATTCTGAAGATAAGTTTGTCTGCTGTCTGCTTATTTATTGTAAATAAAGAACTAAGAACAGGCAAACAAGCCAGAACTTCGACTTGACCGTTAAAGAAAAGAAATCTGAGTGGTTTGCTCTAAAAGCAACATATTGGCTTTCAAAGCTCTAAGAACCAGTTATCCGATAGTCAGCCAGCAGAGAGGACCAGTAATCGATCTGCACAATCTGGTTAGCAGGCCACGGAAAAGCTTTACGCTGTGGAAATCCAAAGGAAACTGCAACAACTAAAGAGTGAAAGGGAAATTCTTTCAGGAGCTCAACAATGTAGAATAGCAGTAATAAAATAGACCACACCTTTGAAATAAAAAGAAGGTCCAGATCCATAAAATCTGTCCCGCTGATCGATAAACACGGCATGATTCTGAATCTGCACAAGATAAGCAGCCCTAAAATTCAGCTGTCCCCAGAAACACAAAGTCAAGGCCAGTCGGCGGACAGCAAATATACCTCTGACTCAGGAAAATACATTTTACCCTTAATCCGACACAATTCTCTGCCTGGGGAGCCACAGATACCTATGACTAGACACTGGACAAATCAGGGGGAACAGAAGAGCTTTGAACTGAGAGATGAGGGATTAAGAGGCATTAGCGAGAGAGCACCACCCTCTGTGTGTGGAGCACGGGGGGGGAAACTCCAATGCACTGTTCAAAAACTACACCTTTTTTTCCCTTCCGCTTTTTTTCTGCCCGAAACCTGGCACGAAACATCAAAGGAAGAAATCTACTTAACCCTTGAATGCCATATGCATCACATTTGATAAACACGATTACTGAAATGTTTGCGTCCGAGACCTTTTGCCTCATTTAAATGGTAAAAACTTTGCTCAAAACCCTTTTGTACACAATCAGATACACCTGATAACAGTGGGCAGAAGACTAGACCACAATCATTCAACCCAACGCCCATTATAAATTATGAATTAAAAAAAACAAAATGTTTTCATATTTTGTTAAAGGGCCAAATAAAGACTATTTTTTCTGGGATGGGATCAGGCTTCAAAAGGTTAATTTCACGACCTGGACGTTTCTAAGATTAAGTGTGATGAGTTGTAAGTTTTAAAGTTGATGGGAGGGGATCACCTCATTATCTGCTCCCCAAAACATATTTGACAGATCATGTCACATTTAGCATCCTCTTTTTTTCCTGCCATTTGCAGATGTGCGACAGCCCTGCTGAACTTGGGTCAGATTCCTGTAAACATCAGTGCAGGCACACAAAAACAAGACCCACGTCAGGAAATGAAACCCGAGTCGTTTCATTTAAGCCCTGTGTGATCTTCCACATTCAGATAAGGCCCAGGCCGCCATGCCAATGCGAGGCACCACGCTCCAGAGAACCATGAACAGGTTTCACTTTTTTTTTTTACAATTGTCCTTTGAGTTTTTCTGTCCTGCAGGTGGGAAGACAAAACGTGCAGAGTGGCGAGCAGCAGTCATACCAGGAGAGATTATCTCCGAACCATAGATATGTAAATTAACCCATGAGTGTGTCGTTTGACATATGGAGTTAACACCCCAACAGCCCTTCCGACAAAACAGTATGCTTAACAGACTTATCTGGATAACCCAAATCCTAGCTCTCTAAAAGATAGATGACATACTAATCCACATATGATTTAAATAGATATGCTGCTCTACTATCGACACAACGCACTGAAAGCTGCTGAAAAAATAAAAATATCAGCACTGAAGTAGCTTATAATGGGGCTGGACAACATAGAGAAAAAGTAGGTCATAAAAATTTAGACAACTATTCCAAATATAAAAGAATAGCCTCTCTTCTTCTCAAACAAGTTGTGCATATAAGTTTGGACCTGAAACGACCTAAAATTGCAAAATCTGTTAAAAAAAAGTTAAATCAGTGGGCTCAACTGATTGAAGTGAATATGCTTTGTTTGTAGGCCTCCGGCAGTCACACAGAGATCAATAATAAATGGAGTTCCATATCACTTTACATGGAAGTTCACTCAACATGCACTGGACAGGAGAGGCCCCCGAAAGGCAGAGAACAAGGAGAGAGAACGCTTCTCACCTGGTCAGCCCCGTAGGCGGCCGCAAACTCCATAAACTCCTCAATGCGAACAAATCCATCCCCATCCTGGTCTAAAGCATCGAACACGGCTTTTAGCGGAGAGACATCTTCCTCCCTGGAATGAGCAGCTGACACCATTGGCAGTGAGTCATCTCCCACCATCTTAGAGAGGGAGATGGCATCCACAGCCTGCTCGCTAGTCCACTCAGCCTCAGGAGGAGAAATGTTCACGTCTTGAGCAGGAAATGCAAAAGAAGCCTCTTCGTGACAGCTCGAGTCAAGCTGCTCAGAGTCCGTAGGTTTCTTCTCTTCCCTCTGCTCCTCGTCATGACCGGGAACACTTTCATTCTGTGCACCCTCGTGTGGTTTCAAGTCCAAAGGTTCATCATTGTGGATCTCTTCAAGAGTCAAACACGGATCCAAAGCCATCGTCTCGCTCCCCAGACTTTTGGCTCCAGAGCAACTTTCGTCCTCCATCAAATCCTGAGAAATGTTCTCCGAGGAATGAGTCTCAGTGGTGAGATCAGCCTGAGGAACGCCATCTTCAGCCGGTGTCAAAAAAGAAGGGTCTCCTGCCAAACCCGGGGAAAGCGAGTCATCCTCGCTTTGTTTCTCCGGGGGAGGACAGCTAATTAAAGGAGCTTCTGCGCGTGCCACTTCTGAAACCTCTGCCGATGCCTCCCATGAAGCATCTGTGCGGGGAACAGAGGCCGGGCATAGGCTCAGACTGCAGTCAGATTCTGGAACCTCCAAATCCAACAAAGGCACGGATCCTTCGAAGCACTCCCGCGCTTTGCTGATGTGGTCACGCAGCGGGCAGTCGTCTGGTAGTTCCTGCAGGGTAGCGCTACTGGTTAAGGGCAGGTCAGTCACTTGATCAGGGAATAAACCTTTGTCTCGGGTTTCAGGTGACAAAGTCTCCCTGCTCTGCGAGGGAGGGAGGCTGGCCCGCTCCTCTCCCGAGGACACCTCGGTGAAAGTAGAATATCCATCAGAGAGGAAATCTACCAACAGAAAGGGGTCACCTGCACCGGTTTCACAAATCTTTGACGGTGAGGATGGCACGCTGAGGGTTACAAGCTCCGTGTCTTCACTGAGTACGGCTGAGGCCTCAAAAAGGGAATCCTGTGTAAGAGTCAGCTCCTTACTGGCAGCGGTTTTCCCGATGACGTCGGCAAATGTGGGAGAAAAGAGCCAAGACAAAGTACACTCGCTGATTTCATCAAGTCCTTCATTCTGCTCCGTGCAAGATATTTCTTGTATACGAGCGCCGTGGCTCGAAACTTGGGCGATAGTGGAGTGTTCCTCTTCAAATATCAAATTCCCACGCGAAAAAGAAGAGGCATTTATAAGGTTGCCCAAATCTACAGACTGATCCAGAAAACCATTTTCTCCATCAGTTTGTTGGAAGGTTTTATTCTGATCAGCTTTCCTGAAATCCAAACCTGTCTGGCCAGTCTTGTTTTGAATAAGCACTCCACCATTGTCTGAATCCAGCGTTTGAAATCCCAGAGGAAATGGCTGTTCTGACTCCCACTGGGGGAGCCCCAAAGGGGCTGACAGGACTGTCGGCTCCATTTATCCACTGGCTTTTCTCTTTTGCAAACCTGAGAGAGCCAGGAATGTTTTTACCTGACCACTGTGGCTAAAGTCCAGCTCAAAAGTTTTGATGCCATGCTTTCAAATGGCAATACGCGTCTCCGGGAAAATCATGAATTCAACTTAAGAATTTACTAACCTCACAACACGTAAACGTGTAATGTTTTTACAGATGTTTGCCGCGTAAAATAGTTCCAACAGTTTTACAATCTTGGAAACGCTACCAGCGAGGCGGCGGATGAATACTGAATGATGTCAACATCTCTACAGAGCGTTCCCCAAACACACAAATTTGAAAGATTGCTGAACCTTTTTTTTCTATTTCTTGTAGACACAAAACGGGTTTGGACTCACTATTCGTTCTCCTGTCATGGCAGGTTCAGTCGTGGTCGTTGCCAGCGCTTTAGGCTTCGGAACGTCCAAAATCAACATGCTTTACTTCGGAGGACAGATGATAAAATGCAGACATAATGTCTGACACCTGACTGGCACAGTCGCAAAATCTCTATCTCGCTCCTTTTCAAAAGAAAACAAAAAACAATTACGACACCAAGTAACGCGTTAGGTCAGTCGCGGGTGTTTGTCAACATTAGTTTTTCTTATCCGTTTAACTAATCGTATTAATTACCAGCTAATTTAGTGGTGAGCCAACGGAAACGGCGAGTAAATTGTGTGACCAGCGACACGTAAACCGTAATCTACCTCCACTTGTCAAAAGTTTACGGTCTCATTACAAAGCGCCCAAACACATGCAAAGCCGATGGTCTCTCTTCCACCGGATTTATGCTAGCAACCGACGTTAACTCCTCCTTCGAGCATCTCGCTTCTCTCGTGTCATTGGTCGGGGAAGCTGCTAACTGGCTAGCGGGCAAAATTAGCCCACTTGCTAGCTAACGCGATAAATAGTCCCGCTATCCCCTTCAGCTGTCAAATGAGGCCGAGCATAATCTTTACGATATGCGGGTATACGCTTATGACTCAAACAGCTGCCTCAGTCGTAGCCGACCATAATTTCATCTGTTCCTCGCCGCTTTCCAGCGTCAATCCACCTGTGTCAGCCAAGACAGGCCAGACTAGTGACGAGTCGAAGCCGTTTTTTTTTTGTTTTTTTTTTGCCTCCTCTCAGCTCTTCGGTGGTCCCCGTCTCGCGCGCGTATCTGTATCAGCGTCCCTCGTCCCAAACCATCGTCGGACGATTGGATTGTAGAATTGGGGGAAGTAGCTCCATCATTCCGCGAGTCAGTCCACCGATGTTGATCGCTGACGACGAAAGCTCTCGCATCAGCATCAGCAGAGTCCCATCCTCCTCCTCCTCCTCCTCCGCCTCCTCCTCCTCCAGCCGCATACACGCGCCACTGACGTTTCACGCACGCGTACAAAATGCCCCGCAGTATCACCGCTGTCGTCAGCCGACACTTCATCATTTATGTGTGTGCGCAAAAGTCAAGAGTTA